TTTGAACGAACTATATAATAAAACTTACCTTTCTTCCCGAAACGAGCGACAATTCTTATTAGTCGAACTTTCAGAAAGACTTTATCTCCAATCTCAAAATGCATTTCTCGCTCATGCTTATCAACTGAATACTTCTGCTAAATCTGAGCAGTCTTGAAACTTTCTTTAATCCAGGCTACATACTCAACTATTTTCTCGATCATCTTCCATTATATAGATGGTAACTTTAAACACTTTTAGACTTGCCTCTTATGACTCAGAATATGACTATGTGGCACTTTTCATGTGATGTACCCACTACCCGGGGCCTTTCGAGTGCGGAACATTTACATGCGTGTACCTACAATGTCAAAATCACCTGCAAAAATAAAAATTCACATATATGTTAGCATTTTCAACTGCAGTGAAATTGCTTCTGCGCCGGGAAACCTTCTGATCAAGCACTACTATCAGTACTTATATTCTTCTGACTTTAATACAACCAATATCTCTTAAAGAACTGATTGGAAATTACTGCACTGCTGCAGAATAATTTACCCAACTACTGATCATACCACATTTCACCCTTCGAGGTGACTTATTCTTTCTTCAATAATGCTGACCGACACAACTCAACATCACAATAATTCATTCATCAATTATGGATGACATCTCACATCTGTTTCTGCAACAAAAAATGCATAATGGTTGCGTATCTGACAATCAAAAAATATGTTAATGTCTGATCTCTATCTCTGAAACTTACCTCATACGCGTCGCTCTTCTATAAATATCTTGCCAATCCTTCAATCTTCTTTCAACAATGGTCCGAATTAACAAATGGATCTGGCACTTTCAAACATTCGCAACTTATATTCCTTTCTTCCCCTTAATATCATCAAAAGAATTTATCAATCTCGAGTGGAAAGATGGAGAGTGCTAGTGATCCATAATCTTCACATGATAAATGATGGTTGATTGAAGCAAAAGTCAGACTGTCTGGAGAATATCCAAATTCTTATAAATTTTTTCCTTGTATGAGTAGAAGTACTCTTTCAAAGAAACGTAGAGCAAAACGAATCGGTGGCTGCTATAAATGTGCTCGATCGAATTGTGATACCCGATGCAAATCACTGGGGTTTGTGTCCATGAATCGAGAAGATAAAATAGCTTTCCTTAAGAATGGCTTGAACAAGGAATCCCTGGATCAAACCCTCCAACAAATTCTCGATAGACATCCCAGTGGATATGTGCATCGAGAGCTTATGTCTTTATGGGTCTGTTTCAAAGATAAACATAACCGCTTATAGTCTGGAAAACATTATTGCTAAGGATCCAGACTGCAACAGCTGTCTCTGCTAACTCCCTTAATAAAAAGGTATTTATTTCATCTGATAAATAAAACTCATTTAATACTTAACTGCTCCCCTATCTGTTGCTTCTGCCGAAATAAAACAATATAATACTCATTTTCTTTCTTTAAATAACCCTTCTTTTCTACTCCAAATGGAGACTCCTGAATCTTCTCAAGTTACAAAAGTCCTTCCTTCTA